CCCTCGCTGACAGCCACCACGATCTTTAGGAGGGAAAGAAATTAAGTCAAAATACCCTTAGAACAGCCTGGATTAAAGTAAGTCTCCCTCCTTTGGAGAAAAATGTTTTCTTCCAAGCAGAAAGGCACTTCAGAAATTTTTCAAGAACCAGCGACCAAAAAGACACACTTCTAAGATTATGACCTAAAGGAAGACCAAGATAAAAGGAAGGGAACTAACCTACTTCACACCCAACCAAGGTTGCATGTTCGCTAAGCTTATCAGCGTCACAATTGACCCCCTGTGACGCCCAAAATAAAACTTTTGCCTCTATTGATCTTAAGACACGATGTCACTTCGAAAAAACCTAGAAGGCAGTTAAGGTTATTGAAATCCTTATCCTTACTAAAGCATAATTAAGCTCATATATTAGTTACCTTCCATGCTGGAGATTCCCATCTATGACATAATATGTTCCAGTCTTGTTGTTTAATGTCTTTATACGGCTTTTCGCGAGCACGTGTCGGATCACGTACTTTTTTATAATGTCGATGTAGTTTCGCTCGATAATCCTTGAATCGAGTTTCAATCTCGTATAAAATATATCTATGAACATGTGGCTAAGATATATCGACAACAAACTTTTCCTACAAAACGTAGTCAGTAAAACTAGTTAACAAGATATTCGATTAGTGGCCAACAAATACAACAGAAAAAAAATGGTACCAGTAATATCCGAATGATTTTGTTAGTCTCTGTTTCACTATTAAACGAAGCTGACCCAAGTCCAATCGGTCTCCCTTGTTGCTCAGTCCATTCGAGCTTGATTTTTCCAACACGATTTACGACTCGTAACAAAAATTCGCCAGGAGTTTCCCCCGAGCTCGTGTGATTCCAGCAATGGTATCCTCACTTTCGCTGTCCGATGACATTATGTCTGAAAAAATGAAAATGAGAGAACACAAATTGTTATTAGCCCATTCCACAAATATGCAAGCATTTATCAAATATTGGGAATGCAAGATTCAACAAATGAAAAAATATATAACAAATCAACACAAAAAGAAGTATAACATTTGGGTCAAATCGGACTAAAGAAATGTTTAAAGGTAATAAACTTACCTCGTTAATGAAACCTAAGTAACCTCCGCTTCATCCCAAAACAACAAAAACATATACAATCAAACCCAACTCTTGAAAAGGAGATCAAGTCAAATTTCAAAAATTTCCTTTCACAAGCAGCATTTTGAAATGCTTTTGTTAAAAAGCTTCATCCCAAAACATTCCCATATATTCTTAAAACTTCAAAACTCCAAAACCCCACAAACATTGTGAAGGTCTTGAAAAGATAGACCGAATTAATTCAACCACACTTTATACAAAACCCCTGATAAACTGTGGTTAATTAAAGAGTAAAAAAGATAAGAAATGAGGAAGGCGACCAAATTTTAGTACTGTACCGTCCCCTCTATCAAAGGACGCACACAAAACAACTCAAAAACTATTCCCCCAACTCTCTTTAATCTCTTCCACACTAAAAATACCCATAATTAGATTTAGGGCTAGGGCTAATAACCCAACGTCGTCCTTTAAGAGCGACACAAACGCGTTTCATCGCTACGAAAAGCGACGAAAACACATTTCGTCGCATTTCTAAGCGACGAAAAATGGTTTTCGTTGCTCATAAATGCGACGAAAATACATTTACGTCGCTTTCTATGTGACGAAATTGTTTTCGTCGCTTAAATTCGTTGCTGAATCCTATATTTGTTGTAGTGTCAATAAGAGACCTCTCTATTGCACAATCGAAAACTTTAAAGTCCCCTATTTTTAAAACACACACAAAATGAGAATCGAAAACTTTGAAGTCGGAAAGTATAAAGATATATAGGTATGAACACTATGTCATGGAGTCTATATCAACTATGGTGCTTTGGTGTTCTAAAATCAGAAACAAACCTCAAGTTTCAAATGGTGAGAAATGAGACGAGCTTCGAGGAAAGGAGATGAACGAGACGTACCTCAAGGGGAGGGAACGGAAAAGCATAATATTGTTGTGAAAAATGGTTGAAGATGAAAAGATTTTTAAAAAACAGGCGAACAGTTTTTCGAATGAAGACAAAAAGTTTTTTTTTTAATTTTAGGGGAGTGTTAAGTGGCATAAAATTAGGATTTAAATTCAACAATTTTGAATTTCCATAATTTAATAATATAATAAAAAATGATATATTGATAAATTATTGATGAGTTGTTTATCAAATTAAGTTTAGTAATGTAACAACAACTCTACTTTAATTAAGTTGTTTAACGTAGTAATTCTATTAAATTTCTAATAATTGCCATAGGAGAAAGAGAATTTATAAAATTCACCAACCAACAAAAGAATTAACTTTATACACTCACCTTGCTTTCGTTTTTTCGAGTTCAATATTTCTTTACGAAGAGCATCCACTTCAAGTGCTAAGCATATCCGTCTTTTCCATTTCATTTCAACTGCGAATTATTCAATTTCTTGAATAAAGAGTAAAGAGCATGCAATAACAGATATATTCCCCCACAAAAACAATAAAAATTAAATGGACAACATTTTCCTGAAAGCATTAAGATTATAGAAGATTGTGATTTTAGCAAGAAAGCATCAAGATGATAAACAAACAACAAACAAGTATGTCTTGTTCTGTGATATAGAGCAAAGGAAAAGAGAGAATGAGAAAAATGATGGGTAATATTCTGATATAATAGAAGATGAAATCAGTGATTGATGAAGGAAATGTGTTTGAGATTAGAGCTCACCTGCTTCCAAATTAGTGAACTGTAAGAGAAAGAGATGATCACTGAGAGAGAAAGACGACGCAGCCGAAGAAGAAATGGAAGAGACAGAATTTGCAAAATAGATAAATTAGGGTTTGCCGCTCTGGGCTGGGCTTTGGGACCGATGAAACGTAAGAAATGAAATTAAACTACCTTTTCTTTTTTCATTTTTTTCTTCTCTTCTTTTTTAATTTAAACGTGTTTGGGGATCCAAAATCACTTTTTTGACTTGCCAAAATCAATTTCTTTTTCCATTAATCATATTTGGTAAATTAAAAAATGCTTCTAGGACGGTTTAAAATCACTCTAAATTTATTTTTAAGGTATTATAGTAATTTTAGAAAATCAATTACACTTAAATCTTTTCTTTTTTAAATCACTAATTCTATCATCACTCTCAAAGGTACCCTTACAAATTTATTTTTAAAGTTTTGTGGCTGAGCTTTCTCTTAGAGTGTGATAGCGTCTCAACACTACCCCTCAGGTCTTTTGGCTCTAGATTATGTTGCAGTGCTCCATTGACTAACTTGGGTTATTGTTTTTCTTCTTATCTTTAGCAATTTGATGTTTTGATTCTTATTGATACCTTATTTCTACACAACAACATTTTTTAGCGTATATTTATCATAAAGAATTGAAAGCTAGCAATTAATTCCACTATAACGATTATAAAATATAGCCTATATCGAAAACTATCACACCTCCAAACTTAACATTTTGCTTGTCCTCAAGAAAATATGACAATTTAATATAAAAAATAAAAGATAAATATGGGTGCAGATTTTTCATAGCAAATTCTTCTATGTCATGCTCACATACACCTTATTCACTATACCAACTCCCTTTCCTTCTTCTCAATACCAAAAATACGAGTAAAGTTAACATACATCTATGAGATGGATCAGAATGAGAATGAGGAAATAAGTAATGATATGATGTAATTTGTAGAAAACTCAAGCATCTCATCAATTCCTTTAGATCCAATGCAAAAGACTTGACACTCTCATGGGAATCACTTCAATCTCTCAACATGATCTAGGGTTTTTTTTACTCTCAATCCTAAACATAGCATGTTATTACCATAACCTGCAAATGAGACTTTAATAGTTGGAACAGAGCTTATAAGGTGAAGGTGGGAAAAGATGAAATTATAGGCTCAATAATCAAGACAGTTGAGATATAAAATTACATAATAACATAAAGTACATTGTATTCTAGACATCTTGAACTATCCACTCATATCTTGGAGAACTATTTTGGAATAATAAAATTGATTGACATTTTTGAAACAATGATATGCTAAGTTTAGTCACACACAAGAATGAAAATAAGTAGGGCAAAATGTAATGAGTTGCTCATAGACTAAAAAAAAACTCACTTGGGTGTATAAATTCATATTTTTTTAATAATATTTTAAATTAAACTTATTTTTAAAATAATGCTGTTTTAATCGAAAAAAGAAAAAAAATGCATATTTTCAAACTTATTCCAGAAATAATGTGGGTAAAATCGAAGCGGGGCTTGGTCGTCTCTTGACATATTTTTAAATAACTCAGTATTTAAAACTGCTTTAGTTACGGTTGGTCTTAGCACATACAAGTTGTTTTCTAATTTGACAGAATAAATATTAACACCATTTATGGAAATGAACACTTCATTCATAGAAAAATAAACAGAGTACAATTGTTCTAATAGACAAGAAATAAAAATCAGGTTCCTCTTAATTTTAGGAACAACATATACATTATCTAATGAAATATATGATTTATGGTCTAAAAACAACTTAAGCTCTCCTACTGCCATAGCAGAGACGACTTCTCCCGTTTCGACATTGAGAGTCATCTTACATGCTTCAAGCTGCCTCCAGGAACTAATTCCCTGAACTGAAGAACAAACATAGTTAATGGCTCCTGAATCAAGTATCCAGGCAGAGTAATTATTCTCCACTAAACAAGTTTCCAAAACTAGTAAATCATATTTACCTTCATTGGCTCTATTCTTCTCGGCCGGGTATTTCGAGCAAGTGCACTTCCAATGCCCGTCCACGTTGCAGTGGAAATATTTTCCTTTGTCTGTAGCCTTGGCCTTGCCTTTCTTGGCAGCGGCAACAGTGGAGTCGGGTTTAGACCTCTTACCAGCAGCCTTCTTCTTCTTGAAAGTCTTACTTCCAAAAGAAGAGGGTGCAGACTTGGTTCCAGAAGACGAACCTTGGTGGAACCTCTTTGAGGTAGCAACATTTGTCTCTCCTTCCTATCTTTTATTTTTCATAAGTGACTGGTAGGTCTGCAGCTCGTTTAGGAGCGTAGTAAGAGTGTACTCCAGCTTATTCATAACCGCATTGCTGCGGAATGGCAGGAAACTCTTCGGAAGAGATTCTAAAATGAAGCTTACCTGACTCTGCTCGTCTATGACGACCCGTTCAACTCTGCCACGTTGAAGTGGACCATCAAGTTGAGAAAATGTTCTCGCACTGAGGAGTCCTCCTTCATACGGGAGTTGTAAATGAACTTAAGGGCTTCATGTCGAGCCTGTGAGGACGGTTGTCCAAACATGCTCTGCAGCGAGTCCATGATCTCCTTAGTGGTGACCGTGTCCTCGTGCTTCTTAGCAAGCACATCAAATATGCTCGCCAAGATGTAGACATTGGCCTTAATCCATTGGTCATAGACGTTGCGTACAGCAACAATGGTATTAAGCGTAGGAGCTTGAGGACAATCCTCTTGCAASACGAACCTAAGATCATCTATCACTAATATAGTGTTTAGGTTTGATTTCCATTGTTTGTAGTTTTCGCCGTTAAGCTTTTTTACAGCTAACAAGGCAATAATAGAAATAGACATGTTGAAAATAAAAAACAAACCTATATTAGTTTCATGCATTATCCTTTAAACCCTACAAATTTTAGCAAAAGTAATTAAGTACCCTAACAAAATTGTTTTGCAATGATGCTTCAATGATTTCGGACCAGGATTTGGCACCTTTTTACCCTAGCATTCCCCTACGACCCGGCTGTGCTACCATCTAGTTCTGAACTACTTAGAAGAGCGTAGACTATACATACATACTAACACAAGTCCTTCCAGCATGCTTTGTCCTCAATCGCATGCTTCATATAGTAAAGCAACTAGGAGGTCACCCAACCCAAGATTGCTCCAAGTAAAACACGGTTAACTTTAGAGTTCTTACGATTGAGTTACCGAAAATGAAGGTGCACCTTGTTAGTATAGGTAGTGACTATTATTTCTTTTAAGCCTTTCTTGACCATTCTTTCATGATCTCAGGATCCCTCTCATTTGGATGTGGTATCGATTCATTCATGTACCCCTCTTATCTACTCGGGAATCACATGCCCACCAACTTCCGCTTGGTTCGTCCCCGAAATACATCGACTTTCAATGGATACAACAACCTAACTTTTAACGAGAAGCCAAACTCAGTAACAACAAGCTAAAGCTTTTGCTAACCGCCTGAACTTTGCACCACCAGGGTTCTAATAGAATACATAATCAAAACAAATAGACTCATAACAACCTATTCTAATCCCAATGAAACTACACAAAACTAGCCATGGTCTTTCTTCTCGAGTCTCCTCCACACTATCACCATGAACGTAACCCGAATCCTGTGGGGGGGGCGTGAGTATAAAAATACACCGAAACTAGCTCTCTCTAACTACGCACAAACAACATGCTGAGCACAAAACATTCGTCACAAAATATTAAACTGGCATTCATACATCAATAAATCACAACGCTCGTTAACACACACATGCAATCAACGTAATCGCAACAACATGCATCGATAACAAAACAACATGCTCGAAATCGCAACAGTCATCACAATATGATAACAAGTAATCATGCATCGATAGATCATAACGGTTAATCAACACACACACACAAGCATCCAAGATATCGAGACTCACGTAACTTCATCCACAAGGCCCGCTGGTCTCTAACTCCTTCAAGCTGACTCTAAACCGTCACATTATGTTAGTCCTCCAAGTCTAACTCTTCGATTTGTATCGGCCCTTGACATTTATCCCTAAGGCCCCGACACTCTTCTACAGAAGTTTGGCGTTCGACCTTGACATGTATCCCTAAGGCTTCAAACTGAGCTCCTCCAGGCTAGTTCTAACACATCACGCCTTGTTAGTCCTCAAAGTCTAACTCTTCGAATCGTATCGACCCTTGCCATTTATCCCCAAGGTCCCAACACTCCTTTACAGAAGCTTAGCGTTGGACCTTGACATATATCCCCAAGGCTTCGAACTGTACATCGGCCCTTCACATTTATCCCCAACGCCTCGACCACTACTCAGCGTATTGGTCCTTGACCGCCACCATGTCAAGACCCAATACTCATCATCAAATAGACTCATCATGCCAACCCCGACTTTTTGTACTCGGAGCCTCGACACCCAGTAGTGATGTAACAACCTCGACTACTTGCCCCTGAGGCCATTCCACTCGTGTACCCACTTTCATTACACGATAGACCACACATTCGAATCATGATTCTCTGCTAGGATTCTATCATATCATTTCCAAGTACCCACAATAACGACTCCGAACAACCAAACGACTAGTTGGCGTTATCACCATGAACAAATCACATAATGACAAACCTCTAGTCTATCCCATCACTTTAGACCACTCAAACCAATCCTTCCAAGGCATCGACAAGTCATTCACACTTCTAATCACAACAAAATTTTTCAGTATGCTTTTCATCGTACAGAACAAAGAAACAACCCAATAGCTTCCAACTAAGCGAACATAAAACTAAATAACATAAAGCTAACACGTGCATTTTAACCTCAGAATATGCTTTCAGACATCAAAACTTAATCACTTCCAACCATACAATTTGACAACTTCCAAATCATATCCATTAGTCATGATACACAACATTTTCATAATATATAAAAAGAACAAAAGAAACATCACCAATGCAACCCTACTGTAATAACTAGAAGCCCTCAATCCATGCCCAACAAATTCTAAATACATGAGATACACAAGCATAACAAAGTTCAGCACGAAATCATATCAATAACACCTATTAATACACACACCTGCCCCTTGGTGCTACTTACACA